TCTTCTTTCCCTCCTGCATAGTTCCTTGCATATTTTCAGTACTGAAATGTATCTTTTTAGGGGAAAACCGTTGACGAGCTTTGTCAATTAGAAAGGACAATTGTCAACAAAGTGAATGCTGGTGGCTCGGGGACAGACATTTCTTACTGGGAAGGTTTACTCAGTAAGTGGCACCACTTATTTATTATCACTTCTGTGTCTCCTTTCATACAACCAAAGACTCTCAGGCTAATGAATAATGTTTTAGTGCATTTGAAAGTGTACATAGCTAAGACGCGCTTGAAAGAACTTCATCAGAAGATGCTCAAGCTAAAATTGGCCAGGATACGCGAAGAGCAGATGCGGGAAGTTGGAAAGTTTGATTTGGAAGGCCGATCGGCTGTCAAAGTAAGTTTACAATTATTTTTAATTTGTATGACCTTCTGTGCTCATCTATTATAAATTTTATTGTCATGATGAATGAAATTAGTGCAATGCTGTGTGCATGCAAGTTAATAAAGTACAATTTTTCATTGAGAAATTGGTTGCAACTATTTTCTTCTTATCCTAACAAAAATCTTGTTATAACAGAAACGCGCCTCATCTGACAATGAAGAGGAAGACCTTGAGAAGAAGTTGCGAAGGAAAGTCGACCTTGATGAACTTGAGGCAGTAGAGCTTGATGACGAACAGAAAGAGATGCGATGGAAGTAAGTCGTTTCTTGATTGTGGTTTAGTTTTCGATGAATGAATGGATGCTTGCAGACATTTGACTCCCGAGCAGCTAGAAACAGCTACATTGCAACTATACGAGCGTGGTGGATATAGTCCCACTTATGGTGATCTTAACAATGCCATGCCAGGTATGTGTGAACATTGGATGTGTTTTTGCAGCTTCATAGTTTTATAACGTATATATCTGAAACTTTTTTGTCACTCACCTGGCCGCTTACCGCTGCCGTCTCAATTCTGGATTTGTTTTGTTTCTCTCATCATGGGCCGCGCCATACTTGATCCGCTTCATCC